CTGATCACGATTGGGTAATCGCTGAGCGTCATAAATTAATACCATCTGTTTATGCTGGTATCAAAATCACTTCCAATATGCTAGGACAACCGCAAGCCGTTGGATATTCTGGACCAACATACATCGCTATTCGAAGTAGAAAGCATAGTTCATCTACTGCTAATACTCATGCTCAGGATTTCGAGACGCTTCTCGACTTGAAGAGTTTCGACCATTAGCTAAACTTGACCATGGACTAGTAAAACCAGTGGTAATCGTGACGGTTGATGGAGGGCCAGATGAAAATCCACGTTATCAAAAAGTCATAGGGTTTGCTATACAACACTTTAAGCGACATGATCTCGATGCATTGTTTTTAGCTATCAATGCTCCTGGAAGAAGTGCGTATAACAGTAGAGCGCAGAATGGCTCCTCTTAGTCGGGAACTGGCTGGTTTAATATTGCCTCATGACCATTTTGGGTCTCATTTGAATGAACGTTGCGTTACAATTGATGGAAATTTTAAAGATCTAATTTCGAATTTGCAGGAAATGTATTAGCTGAAGTATGGAGTCCAATGGAAATTGATGGATATAATGTTAATGCAAAATATGTTGGGGCACGTGAAAAAATCTTCCTGATTTTCCAAACATTAAATGGTATTCAGAACATGTGCGTGAGAGCCAATACTTGCTTCAAATTGTAAAATGTAGAAATACAGAATGCTGTCGTCCACGAAGTGGCCTATTTAGATTACTAGGCAATAGGTTTCTTCCACCACCTGTAAAAGTAAAACAAACAGTTGATGACTTGGTTTTGGATGAAGGAGGGCAATTTCTTAATCTTCCAGTCAATTTACCTCAACGCTTAAGTGCTGAACTGACGTGCATTATTCAAAATTTAGAGCACCATGATGTTGAATGGCTCGATGAGAACGACGTAGACATTCCAAAATCCGATGAAAGCGAGCAAACTCACAACACTGAGCAGCAATCGAAGCAATCCAATGTCATCGAAAACTTAGAATCATCATGGATTCGGGTTTCATGGACTGAAGACTGTTAATTTGAATGTAATATATGTACCAAAAATTTAAAATAAGTTTGTTATGTTAGTAAGATATAATATTTTTGTCCTTATCCTTATCCGTATCAGTAAAATATAATCTCTATCCTAAATCTATTTTCTTATTTATCAAGTTATAATTATAACGTTATAATTATAATATTAAAAAAAAAGAATACATTAATTGACAAATCTTTACGTAGGCATGTGGGGAGGGGGTAAGAGCTTTGCTTACTTTTGCTGACAAAGAGGATGGGGGGGTAAATAATTGTAATAAATCTGCTTACGTAATACTTGAACGGCCCCCTCCAGAATATTTATGTTATTTTTATTGCCAAATAAATCACTTTTGTCTTCTTAGAGTTGAGCTTTAGGATATCCTGCTCAGATAATAAATTGATCGATTGAAGCTCTTCATTGAGAGCTAAAGTAAACTTGAATGTCGTCAGCGTACACTTGCACTTCCACATTTTGTATTTTATTTGAAATATCTGCCTCATATATTATGTGTAACAAGTGCCAAAATATAGACTCCTGACAGAATTTCTGAATAAGAACCATCAATATGGATTTTCTGAGAGCGTCTAATTAAGTAGATCCGTATCAAAAACAGTGAGGACTCAGTGAATCCATAGCATTTGAGCTTTGAACACAACAATTCATGATTAATATCAAATGAGCAATTATCGATGACATAGATAATGACCTCAAAAGTCATTTAGCTATTCATTGAACATGATAAAGAGCTATTTTAAACAACACTAACGGTAGGACAACAGACGATATATGTAAATATGGGAGTGTCGAAGAGTGTTGCAGATGCTTCCAGAAATTCGCAATGATAGTCACTAGCAAAGAGAGAGAGAGGTACTCTAGAAAGGTTTTTGGCATATGGAATAATGAGAATTACCATATGGATGGAAGAAAATGGATTGAAAGCCTTGAAGACAAAAGGGGTTATACTTTCTAGTTGTTGTTTTGGTTGAGAAATTCGAGAGTCGAGGCCAAAATGCGATTAAGTATCTGTTTGTGTGACTCGACAAATATCTAAGAATGACTGAACACATAAGGCGTACCACTGATCAGGCAAGTAAAGCCGTTGCATTCGTGGTACGTCTAATGCCATCTAATGGAATCTCCAGTAGCGAGATTCATCGGATTTTGGCAGGGGTAGCTAACTCGATTTTGCTGTTCTAGGTCATATTTGAGATCAAATATAGATTGCTTTTTATATACTGACACCTTTGTTTGAACCTTTTTTTGAATGCGAGCGAGCATGCGGTGTGTTCGAGTGTTCAATAGACTGTAATATTAATCAACTAACAAATTCGTTAAAGAACCAAACATAGTTTTCACGATATACAATATTGATATAAATATAATTTGAACAATGTATCCAGTGTTATTTTATTAAAGAACTGTTCAAAATGCTTGATTAATTAATTATTTTCTCTTCTTTTTGTTACAGGTAAGTTGCTTTGAGCTGCAAAACTACAAATTGTATATATTGTGTAAGTACATACATCTTCCTTGTATTTATTGGATTTGGCTCTACTCCAGAGTGTCCGAATGCGTTTTATAGATCCGATTGGTATGTTTGAATTCCTGAAATAGCTCAAAACTGTAGTGGAATGAAATAATAAATTTGTTCACTTGGGCCCGATTTTATTAATTTGGGGCGTAAAATTTGCGCCTATGGCACAAATTCGGCCGATGAGAGTATTTTTTACATTTGCACCGGGGCACAAAATTTATGACTCAGACGCAAATTCCGACAATCGAAAGAAAGTGTATATTTTTAATAATCCGTCTTCATGTTCATTGAGGTTATCTACAGAAACCTGTTTTTCTCTTTATAAGTTGGTAACAGCTCAGTCAAATTAGATCATTGATTTTTGTCCTTGTTGTACGAAATTCTGCTTAGTAAATTCTTTGAAGACCAATAAAATTACAGAATGCTTTTTTTAACAAATATCGAGCAAATATTCAATTTACTTGACTACCATGTTTCCTTCTATGGTCTATGGTTTTATGCTCAACACGTGCTTAGCGCTAATTTTTCTGGCAGCAAAGGTGGCATAGTGGTAGACACTAGGTGTCTACTAATCAGTCGGCGTGAGCTGCGCGGGTTCGGATCCCTCCCCAAGAGAATTTTTCTCTTGGCTATGGATGTTGTAATTGTCTGTAGGTGGTAGACGGTATCTGACTGCCGAACGTGATAGTACAAGCTGGCGTATCTATGAGGCGCGCCAGAATGTGTACATGTTGCATGCACACGTGTTCCCTCGCTAGAGTCCATGTGACTTTGCCCTTTTCCCCTATAACCCCCTAAGCTTTAGACCTCCGTGGTGATTCAAGTATAAAAAAATATAGCATATGCTATGACCTCGACAATAAAGAGAAATAACATTCTGTATTAATGAAGGATTGTAATTTTCTAGCTTTTAAGACCCAAATAGCTGATCAAAAATTCACAGCAAAAACTGCGTACGTACTCTACCAGCGTCGAACTTATTCTGGATTTAACTCATTCGCCCTCAGAATGTTTAACCAGCCATTTCGTCTGTATCCCTTTCACCGCTTTCGCGTTACCTAATTTGCTAAAAGCGCGTCGAGGACGTGGCAACGTCGTGAAAACCCACACTTCCATCAGACTCGCGCGTCCTTGCAATGACTCGCACTCCAATCGCGGTTATTTGTCACTCGGAATAGCGTTGGCGTTGCAGGAAGAATTTCATTTGCTTTTTTTTCATTTTGATACAGCCAAACCATAAGGCAAGAGTTGCATTATGGGTATGGAATGAACGGTGGTTTGTAGTTTATTTGTATGAGTCATGCCGATATAACCGATTCGTACTTGGTGAACCAAGGACGTATAAAGTGCTTTTCTGAAAGGTATCTTTTTTCAAGTTATATTAAGGAGTTAAAATTCTGGATGATGAGACTGAGGCATGAATACTATATTTTATGATAAACATAACAGTAGGAAGTTTCAAGTTGGTGGCTGGGCGCATTTTTTTCCAAAAGTAATGTTTTATATTTTATTACATTTTATTTGGATAGACCCTTACAAGAGAAGAAGATGGACATAACACACTGTTGCACCCTGTACAGTGGGACAGGTCACAGTAAGTTTAGTAATGTGTTATCAAATTGTAGGTTAGGTATGTTGTCAGTTAGTTGCGAGGTTAGTTGTCAGGTTATAGGTTAGGTGTCCCGCTAGTTGTGAGATTATTGTCAGTTCTGTCTCTAGATCTTTTGATATGTTTCACGAAGTTTGTAGAATTCTTGAGTTTTCTAGAAAGTGATCTCGGGTTATTAGGATGAATAAAATAGTGTAGTAGAGATGTATCACAAAGTAAGTACTACCACAGGCGACAACCTGTCAAAAGTCAGGTTTCATCAACGCCAACTTGAGTCCTATGCATTTGGCAGGATTTCTATTGCTGCAAACTGGTACTGTGACATTTGAAGATATTCGATTTACCGACTTCTACTGTTGTTGGTGGTTATTTCAATATAAAAAGCTTTCCAGCAATTATCATGTCTAAATGATGAACTGGATTTGATTTTGTACTTTGACGTATGACATTCGTAACGTCAGACTAATCATTCACCGTATTCACCCTTAGGAAAAATTCATCCGGACGCCCATAGAGTTAGGTAGGAAATGCAAAAACCAGTTGATGGCATTTGTACGAGGGATGTCTTTTGTTTTGCATATAGAAACATAGTAAGCCGCGCGGATCGAACGTCAGTACTGAATCTTAACCTCACTCTTTAGTAAACTTAAATTCAAAGTTTCACAACAATACGTGCAGTGTTCTCACTACAGTGAATTTTTAAATGTCACCAAGTCTTTAGAAAAATGTAACTCAACCGAGAACATGTTCGCACCATAATTTATCACAACATTCAGAGACAATTTATCGCAACAAGAATGCCTTGCTGAGTTAATGTCTGTTTTCGGCAACGAAGCGCCACATCAGTCGACAATTTCCCGTTGGTATGGAGAATTCAAACGTGGACGGGTGAGTCTTAGCGACGATTCCAGGGTGGGTGCACCAAAAACGGCAGTCACCCAGTAAAACGTCGATGCTATGCGCAAACTCATAATTGAAGATAGACATGTGACATATCGCGAGATTGAGGCGTCCTTGAAGATCTTAAAGACCGCAATTCAAAAAATTTTACATGAAGAATTAGGAGTAAGAAAATTAGTTTCTCGTTGGATACCCCACCTGTTGACTGAAGAGCAGAAAGCAGCCATGGTTAATTGGTGTCAAAAAACGCTTGACGCTTAGTGGTGATGAATCGTGGATTTACTGTTATGAACCAGAAAATAAACGACAGTCGACTGTTTGGGTGTTCCAAGGTGGAGAAAAGCCAATAAAAGGCATCCGTTCTCGAAGTGTTTCGAAAAATATGGTTGCGACATTTGTGTCAAAAGCGGGTCATATTGCAACAATTCGTCTTAATTATGCAAAGAACTGTTACTGCGGATTGGTATACCACCATTTGTTTGCCAGAAGTCATCACCGAGCTTCGAAAAATCAACTCCGAAAGAAGAATCATCCTCCACCAAGACAATGCAAGCTCGCACACAACCCAAAAAACAAGGCAGTATTTAACAGAAGAAAACGTGGAATTATTGGACCATCCTCCATATAGTCCCGATCTAACTCCTAACGATTTCTTTACTTTCCAGAAAATTAAAAACAGACGGCGTGGTCAAAGGTTCCAGTCATCAGAAGAAGCAGTTGACGTATTCAAAAATGCCGTTTTGGATCTGCCAGCAAACGAGTGGAATAAGTGTTTCGAAAATTGGTTCGAGCGCATACTTCGCAAAACAATAAAGTCATTTAAAACTACCTACCGTGTTGTTTTATTTCCATAAGCAAAACTTAATAATTTGTGGTTGAAAGGTTGAGGATAAGTTTTGTGAGTTTTTGAGCGAATAAAACCTGAAAAAGCCATAACTATTCCGTTTCAACTGCGACTGGAAGAGGCCATTCGTGACAGTAGTATATGTGGCGCTTTGATAATTGGATTTTGGGTTATAAACAACTCATTAGAATACCAGAAGTTTGGCGCTCAAATATTTTTATATTTCGACGTAAAAGATACTTAAACGGAAGCTGACACTGAGGTGACCACTAGTATCCGTGAGAAGCAAAATTGTGATAGAATTCTTCAGCACGTGATCTCTGAAATTTTACACTGTGTGCGCCACACTTCTGAAATTGTGCATTGGTCGTGTAAATATATGAAAATATAAAAATATTCCAGACTTCTCAAACTTTGTCTTTTGATTTATCAACATTTTAAGATATTGAGAAAAAAAAGGAGCGTATGCTTCTGTTAAAAGTGGATCGATGCGCTTCTTGACTTTTGTAGTCGTAAATAAAATCTCTCTAAATATGAAACGCCTGGATATAATCGTGTAGAATTGCTTAAGCACGGAGCTCACAGCGTTTGAGCGCTACGATGCGTCGTTATGTTTTGTCTGCTAAATGCACATAAAATCGATTGAAGTTGTAGTAAGTGAAATACGATATTAGTCCTACCCCTGCGTTGATGGGGGATGTTTACCTTTTCCGGCAACGCGGCGCGAGGACTGACAAGGCGCCGGCAAAAGGGGGCAATTTCCGTGCTTGGAAGTTTCGTGTGAAGTCACGTTCTTCGATGTTTATTGTGGGGGAATAAATCCATATTATGTTCTTGAACAAGTTAAAAGATTTGTCCGCTATAAGTGCGTCTGCAGGATAACAAAATACTTTAGGGTGAGGAACATTTGACTTCCTACGCCACTGGAAGAGGAATTATTGGAATCGCGAACAATTTCGAGAATGAGATATTATGCTTTTTGGAAACATCCATATAACATATATGACATGACAAAAAATCTTGTCACTCACTTCCGTCTGTTTGTCAATCAGTCTGTCTATCTATCTGTCGGTCTGTGTATCTGTCTGTCTGTCTGGCATTCTGTCTGTCTGTTTGTTTGTCTATCTGACTGTCTGTCTGGCTGTCTATCGATGTTTGGCGTAGAAAGTAAAACAGGCGAAATACACTTTCAACCAACCGTACCATTTTTTTGTATATGCGTCTAGAAAAGCAGCTCACTGCACCGCACGTGAATCATGGAGGGGGTTGCATAGGAAGTCACAACATTAGATAGCTATATCATGTACAGTGCATCAACACCTACGTGGGTAGAGTGTCAAGCAAACAACAGATCATTTGGAATTTCGATCCGGTGGCTATTACCGGTAGAGATGCTCGTTTTCCAGTAGCTACTGCTGCATTCCGCATTACATTTACATTTTGTTTACATGGAACAAATAGTAGTACGATGTTGATGCAGTTATTAGAGTCAACTTTGCTATAATTTTTTCGTTTGGCATTCAATCAAGGTTTTATTCACCTATGAAAGAGTTATTAATAGCTGATTGTTATTTTAGCTGAAGAAAGAAGCTGATTTGTTAAGCAGGATATATTATGTGCTTCTGTCTAACAGCGAACTCAGAACGGCCTCATAATAGTGTGTGGTTAAACTGGCTGATTCCGTGAATTATTCTGAAACGAAAAATTTTTATAAATAAGTCCAATAATGGTTCGCGTGATTTTTTTAAATACAGTTTGGTCAAAAATTTCTAATTCTCCATCTAGGTTTGTACTAAAATGAAATTTGAATCGAATAAAAAAAGGTGTCAATAAAACCACACCCAAAAGAAAAACTCAATAAAGCTATTTTCTGAATTGATTTCAGTTAAACCTGTACATGTTAGATTCCAACAAAATCTTGGAATATCAGCTAAGTTGATGTTACTGGGGTAGTTTTTATGAAAAAAACATTTTTATAAAAACTTTTTCTTCGCTCAAAGAATTATCCTTTGGAGTTTGGCCATATTCTTTGTTAATGCTCTAATATTTATTGTTCCGTGCTGCTTTCGTTATGGTACGTTAAGCTGCAGTAGCCTAAACAAAAAATCAATAAATAAGCGGGATAAGTCTCTGCGTAAACTAGTAGTCGATTACTGGCGAGTAGACGGTATGTTCAATACCACCTGTATGGGCAACATCTAGCGGTCACGGTGGTGACGGGGCTGACATTGTGATCTGGAATACACGCAGTTCCAACAGTTTGCTGTTTTCACTCTCGCAGAGTGGTCGGTTCTGGTAATATACTTTGTGCTGTCTTATTTCGAGAAGTCTCTGTTACATCCCGTTTGTATTCCTGAACTCCTTATGCCTATAAGATTTTTTCATAATTAACACAATTACTGCAATCATCCGCCTCAAACTTTCTAATTCCTTTATGAAACTTGTTTGAAAAGATAATTAAGATATTAAGGGAAAAGTTTTAAATGGAAAAACATTTTTATTAAAACCGGATGCAAACGCCACTGTTATGTAAATTAATCAAGTTAACTTAATCTTGTTATCGCTTGGTGAAACACGGGTAGTTGAGATATTCTTTTAAAACATTGAGAAGAGTGAGAAAATATCAACTCAATTTCATCAGTACCTGTAGATCATGCAGTTCAGAAATCTACTAATATATGTTTTCTTATGATATTTCATATACGATTAGTGGACAGACCGACAAACGACAAATGAATGACATGATTTTTCTTGATGTAGATATCATCTAACATTCAAAAACATAATATCTCAATATTGAAATTTTTCAGGATTACAATAACTCCCCGCCAGACACTCGTTGCTCTGTCTTCCTCAAATTATGTTACTGCGCGCATTTCTATGCTGTATCAATCGAAAATAAGTTGGATCAAGCCACAAAAACCTCAAAAACTTTGATGGCGTAATTTTTCTTTGGAAGAAATACCCATACAATATTGTTATATTCTACATAACCGTGATTTTTACAGATTTGTAGATCGTATATAAGTGTTCTACAAAAAATAATTTGAAATTTCTTTTTTCGAAGGTTTGGTTAGGTAATGAAAATTTTGTATTCTTAAAAATCCACTGTACATCAGTGGTTTCTTGCGACCTTTTCAGGTCCACTAACAAAATCATGAATTTTAATCTAGAAAATTGTCAAAAAGCGAAAACACCGCAGTTTCACCGACTTTTTCCAATTTGTAACAATTTAAACGTCGGCTTGAAGTTTGTCGGCATAAAACCCCAACAAGCACATGTATTTTTGTTCAAGCTTCCAGGTTCCGTAGTCAACATTTTGATTTTTCTCCCAAAAAACCTTAGAATAATGCACAGAAATACAGTGTCCTTTGAACTAAAATTGAAAAAATCGGTGATAATGTGATTTTTTCGATTTTTGACAATTGTTATTTTAACAACGGAATTGGAAATACAATTAAAAAATGCATACATACAGTGAACTTCTAGGTTAGCCAACTATTTCTTTCCTAAGCAAACGCCTCAAAAATTGCTTACTATTTTTGTAATTTTCCTTGAAACAAATCAAAATTTTGATTGTGGAAACTAAAAGAATATACAAAAATACATATGCGTTGAGTTTTTGCTGTTTTTTTTTATTTATCGCGATTTTCTGGGCAAACATTCATTATTTTGTTAGTGGATCTGAAAAAAATGCAAACGTGTTATAGTGGATTTTTAAGTTTGCGAAATTTTCATTACCTAACCAAAAATTCGAAATGGAATTCAAAAAGTTTTTCAACCTATTTATCCTACAAATCTATAAAAAATCGCGGTTATATAGGATATCACTATGTAGCATCGCTAATATTTTCAAATAATTTTGAAAAAGACGTTTTTGAGGTTCTTCACCTAGACTTGACCTTACAAGCAAAAAACTTGATCCAAAAAGAGTTGAAAGAAAAAACAGAAATGAAGAACTGTTGTATACACAAAAAAGGAGTTAAATCTTATACATTTGAGATTATACGGTCATCAGCCAATATAAAACGCTTTATTATTTTTTTAAATAAATTCATAAACTCCTTTATGAAATCGGTTCCTTATTATACAGCCGTGCGAAAAAGAAATTTAATGTCTATAATGCAGACTGAGAGTGTGGACGTCTGTTTTGTAACGAATTTTGTTATACAGATAAGCAGGAGTTTTTTTGGTGATGATCTTAATATGAAACAGAAATTTAATGCATGATTCCACGATATTTCATTCAGAACAGTTGTATCGATCTGACTAGGGTGATTTGACCTAATATACCTTACCCTTTGGGGGACAATTTTCGTATTAAGTTTCGCCTTAGGCTTTGCACTGGTATGATCCAGCAGTAAACGGACTGTACTATAAAGGGTTACGCAAATCGTACAATGAATGTCTGACACATAATTTCAATTAATCTCACCGATCTCTACCATTAGCACAGCCGCCGTTAATTCAATTCAATAAAATCACTCATTAATAAGCATCCTATGCCTCTGTAAAATACCCTCTGGCAAAGATGGAAAGGAGAAAATCGTTCTCTCAGCCGAAACTTGAAACTAAATAATAAACATCTTTAATTAATTCTGTTCGCTTAAACGCGCCAGCAGCAAAGTGTTAGTGAGTGTTTAGTGTAGTCACAAAAGTGTAATTAATTTACAAAATTTTCCGTACTCAGATCGTTTGCAGTTTCTTAGGGCTACGTGATATTCGGATTAATTATTTTGCCTAACGAGAATGGGGAAGCTAACCAAGAATTAGAATCGTTAGTGTGGATGTTTATACAGTGGAGTGCAATGACTTGTAAGGGTAAAGACATTGCTAAGAATGCTGTATAGAGGGAACAATGTCGTCGAGTAGGTTGACTCTACAGTTCCCACGCAACGCCGTTATCAGTTCATAAACGGCAAACACCACAAACTAGACCCTCTGAGAAAAAAAAAACTGTCAAACAGGTCCATACAATTAGTCCATAGACATTCTTTTCCTTTATTTTTCTTTTTTTATTTATTATTTTTTTTTTGTCATTGGGATATTAGCAATATTGTGGAAGAATTTCATCAGTCCGAGCAGTACTTTGCAAGTTATAGGCGGTATATTAGTAGAGGACAGGCAGACACACAGACGGAAATGAGTGGCTCGGTTTTTAGTGATTTACATGTCAGATAAGAGAAAATATAATCTCCTTTTAGAAAATTTTTGCGATTACAATGCTTCCCCGCCAGTAGGCGTACGAAGTAAAATTTTTTAACGTCGCGCATCTCTTTTTATTTCCCAAGCCTACTGGCGAGGAAGTATTGAAATCGCGAAAATTTCAGAAAATGAGATTATGTTTCTTGGTTGACCATTTTTGAAATAAATTTGAAGAGGTAACTTCACTGATACATATTTCACTTATCATAGATGTCGCCGTACATAGAAATATTTCCAACAGTCGCTGGTCGATACATGCGACGTGGACCGGTTGGTCGTGCGTCGCATTCAGCAGTTGCTTGCTGTAGAATTCAATACCGTCATCCACCCGGGCTTAGCCATAGCAATGATCATGTGCGCCCGCAGGAATTTCTCTAAGGGGGAGGAGGAATGTCATTTAATTTTTTATTATATATGTTTTTCCAAATAACATCCAAAAAATATAATATCTCTTTTTCGAGATTTTTCGCGAGTACAGTACTGGCTAGTAGACGTGAGAAGTACAACGATACGCAATCATTCAGCATTGTTGTTGGTTGAACTGTGTATATCCTCTAATCTTTTCAATTCCTTAAAGTGATTCTACTTTCGATTATTATTTATTCGTCACAATTATGACAGCTCTATTATCCAAAAACGAGGACAACACTTTTTTTAAATTGCTTTCAAAGGAAGCGCAAAGTAGGCATTGGCTCCTTATCTATTTCTGAAACATCCTTCCGCTCTTTGTGTGCTGCATTGTATTCACGCATGGAACCAGATTACGTTATATGAAACGTTCTTCCAATATAGTCGTACAACAGCTTATTAGCGTTACAGACGTGTTTGTTTTCTGGTATACAGGAAGAAAGTGAGGATAATCACTATTGAATTGAACGTGAAATGAGTTCCACGGCACTTAATTTGAATCTCATCATTTCATTTTTGCAATAGCGATTACTCGGTGTGGACAGGTGCAATGAACCTGACCTGGACTGAGTTTAAGGAGAAACTAGTTTTCGACTACATACAAGCAATAACGGACTGCGATTTTTCCTAGATACATAAGAATTAGGAAAAACACTTTTCATTGGTCCTGCTTTTTTTTGAACACGGAAATGCTTTTATAGACACTATCAGGCTGAATAGCTTGAAAGTAGGTATTGCCCTAGCGGGTTTTCCTGCGTGTAATGAGATATTCTCCAGAAGTATAGCTTACTTACTTACCCCTCAGTCGGTCGCTACTCATCCTATCAGCACTTTATCATGGTTGGCAGTGTTGCGCTAGGTTCCCTGCCCAAAGGTATTTAGTCATCTTACTCTTTCTATACATACCTATGTACAGACATAATATGAGCTAGTAGAAATCTATGTTGGTCCTTGGTCTAGTTTATCATGTACCTTACTCAGCGTCATCTGCCTCACTATTGGATGAATGTCAACCTATTTGCCTTCGTCTACATGCCTGGCAAAATTGTCAGCAGCGAGCCTATCACCGAGCATCAATTCCACCTATCTTTGGTACTCCACCTAATCTGCAAAATTCAAGTAAGTATCCTCATCTCCTCTTCCGGTTGCTTTTCTGTAATCTATCCGCACCACTTCGATATCAATCCAAGCCTTAATATCTGGGATCCTCCTGCCATCTAGCAAAAAGCGCCTTTCCTTCGCCCATCTTTTGGTGCCCTTTTATAGAGCGCGCGAGATTAATTATCGGGATACCAGCCTCCACCAGTAGTGCATCCGTTGATATTATTCTGCAACGGCAGATCACGCGCAACAGTACCTTCCGCTGGCTCCTAAGCATTAGTTGCTTATATTTTGTTTTCTCAAGGCCTTGTTATAGATAGGAGTGCCGTACAGTGGCCATGTTTAAACTATGGGCACCTAAACGTAAGACCGAAAGGTGGCGAAGCATCAGCCCATTGAAACTGGCCATCTCTTAGCACAGATTGGTGTTGTATAGAATACGAGCCCCTTCCCACTTCAGTTGGCCCAGCTATTGAAATCTTATTTTTTTTTATCAAACACAAATAATAAAAATGTAGCAAGGTGTTATAGGTTTAAAATATTAACAATGAATGTTTTGATAATATATAGTAGACACCAACATTATCACTCCCTAATCAAATTTGCAGCATAAAAATAATACGTTTAAAATAGTTTTGGGTAGTTAGGGTTTTCAAAATGGGTAGAGGAAAGGTTATTAGTGAGAAAATTCGGTTACTGATAATTAAATTTTTTAATTCTGGGAAATCAAACTCAGAAATTGCAACTTTGTTAGACTTATCGCGGTACAGTGTGAGAAATATTGTTAGAAGATATAACGTAACCGGTTCAGTTAATATTAAGCCACGATATGTGAAAAAAAGTAATATCACAAATGCCGACCGAAGAACATTAAGAAGAATAATCGTGAAAAACAGGCCTGCCAATTATTTACAATTAAGTGCTCTGTGGAGGTCCACAACTCATAGAGAGGCCCACAAACTGGGATTTAGCACTTGTATAGTAAGTTTTCTTATAAAAAAAAAGTGAAGTAAAAATCCTAAAGTTGCACAACTTTTTTATAGGCCAAAGAAAAGCCACTATTAACTCCACTGTAAAAGATAAATCGGCTTAGATGGGCTAAAGAACATAGACAATGGACACCTCAACAATGGTGTGCAATACAATGGAGTGATGAGGCCCGATTCGAAGTTTGTGTTGGTGACAGTCGCAGTAGAATTATTCGCAAAAAAAATGAAGCATTCCATGTTGAGTGTCTGAAGAGAGAAGTGAAATTTCCAGCATCCATTATGGTCTGGGGCAGTATGTCATCAAAAGGAGTAGGAAAACTTCATTTTATTAATGGAAATGTGGATACAAACTAATATTTGTCAATTTTAGAAGAATCGCTTTTACCAGTGATGGAAGAATGTTTGACATCCGGCCAAGATTTTGTGTTTTAGCAAGATGGTGCAGCGTGCCATACCTCAAAAAAGGCTATAAAATGGATGGAAGAAAATAATGTACCACTTTTGAAATGAGTTTCTAGCAGTCCAGATCTGTCACCTATTGAAACTTTGTGGCACGAGATGAAAAAGGTTCTGTCAATATCCTGCTCGTACAATCACCGAACTGAGACAAAAGCTTCAAGAAATATGGGATTGTTTTACACCAAATTTTTGCCAAAACTTAACTTAACACTATGCCCCAAAGAATTTCAGCCGTAATAAAAAATAAAGGTGATGTTGCCCAATGGTAATCTTTCAATTGTTGCTCTGTTAACTTCGCTCATTTATTCGCACATTGTTTATTTGTTCAGATGTTCAATTAGTTATAGGTCTAAGTGATTTCAAATATGTATTTTCTACGACTAGAGTGTATCTAACATGTTTTTGAGAAAATAAATTGTTTTAGAAGTAAATAGTTTCGTCATGTTTAGTTTATAAAGGCATATTTTGGTACAAATCTTGATGTGGGCCAACTGTAGTGGGAAGGGGCTCGTAGACCTGCGGTGAGCTACTCACGGTGGAAGCATGGACAATAATCTGTAAAAAATTGGTAACTACTAATTGTCGCACACTACCTAGATATTAAGCAGTAGGTGACGGGCAAACCATCATCTACTGCTATAATTTATTACTATACTAGTAGTTCATGTACTAAATAATAATTGAAACAGTTAGCCGCCTCATAATCATTTTGTTAATTTATTTTTTTGTAATATAAATTATTTATATTTTTTTATTTAATGGAAATATGATTTGACTTGACATTTAGATACTTGTAATATTATCTAGCTAAGAATATATTTTTGAAACTGTTCTGTTAAAAAGGCAATCGTCATGTTTACAACATATGCTTATAGCGTTTTCCACTGATTTTCACTTATGCACTATTTACTCACTTTTCTTATTCGAGTCATCTGCTAGGCACTTCTGTGCATTTTCGTGTCATCCCGTGTTTCACTGTGAAAAGTATTATAATGGCATTTCTCCTGGATACGTTGTGCACCAAGAAATTTTATAGCCAATAGAGAATCTAGTAGCGCGTCTCGAGATACTATCTCGATGTTATAGACCTTCCTCAAAACAGTGGACAGGAACGGACTGGAACAGGTTGTGGAAACAATAAAATATTATCAGCAGATCAGGTACATCAATCAAATACATTGTCAAAGAATTAAGAAAAAACTCAGTTTTGTTCCTGCACGATGGCACTTTTGCAAAAATGCACCAGTAGGTGCCACTGGGAAGTGCTAATATAATAATTTGAGTAGTCCTGCTCTAATTGCTTGCCTTCAATAGCATTCACGAGTGCTAAAAAATCCTTTTGACTGCCCATGACAAACTTAAATCGGCCTCGGAAGCCAACAAGCAAGCAGGAATTAAAAAACGTCACTTTGCTAATTAGCGAATGGTCACCAGCATTTATTGTGCAAGGATGAGACATTTTGCAAGTAACATTAATTAAAGATTTGCGAAATAGGTTGGTTTTTCTTTAGCGATTAAATGTAAATCCGTTTATTTTTATCGAACGTTCTACTAATGAACGAGACTTTTTAATCCATTGAACTCGGTCTTTAAGGATACAAGAAATGAGCAACATTCTAGATATGAAAGGTATGGCAGAGCAAAGCCTGCTGTAGTTTTTGCTTGAGAAGCTGGTCTATCGAGATCATATATCATCTCCGGGCAACCTGTCTCTCCTTGCCTCTGCTTCGAATTGCCTTTTCTTTTTCTTTTCAAACATGGGGTTGGGATTTGAAAAATTGGTAAAAAACTTCTTACCCGTGAGTCCTAGCACTAAGGCCCGTATCGTCAGTCGTCCCTACAATTGTAGGGCGCCTTTATGGCCTCCTTGATTGTCATAGTTTTCTACTTCTCCGTGTCAGAACTCTATTTTGAGGTTATGTCACAAACATCTATTCGCATCAAATTGTGCTTGCTTTTGAGTTATATCATGTTTTATCAGCCTAAAATTTCCTACAATTTAAAAAGAAAACATATCTTCACAATAGGAGAGCGGTGACGCTGACACGGGACTACAATTATTGTAGGGACGACTGACGATATGGGCCTGAATTGAGACCATTTGGAACCTACGCACCCGATTTCCCTAGAAGATAACCTTCCATCCAGATCATGAACGCGCAACACTTTTTGACAGTTTTTATTAGCCTGTTTTGATAAGTATTAAAATACCTGAACTGCGGTTGAAAGGACCTCTGTCATATGTATTTTGGGTTGCTAAAACTGAATCCAAAGTCATTCCACATGTATCTGATCCCATATATCATATACATTCTATTATTCAGTGTAGCCGCCATAATTCACGGCCTTTAAGGCGGCTCCGACGCAGTGAGTTTCAAGCCATTTACAAGGGTTCAGCTGCTTCAAAACTGACACTCCATTTTTCAATATTTTTAAATGAAATTCATACAGTATGTTGAGAAGATAATTGCCCAGGGTGCTATAGGAGCACTTTTTGAAATTTTGTTTTTGCACAAGTTTTATGATGGGTTGAAGTGCGCACTTTTTCTGTTCACCTGCGCGATTTTTTTAAAAAGAACCTAGTGAAAAAAATGAAAATGTGGCTCTATGTCACCTTGTGGGGTTTTGCTTTCAGCACTCTGTGAAAATTTCATCCAAAAATATCAAAAAATAAAGCGTCAATTTCGAAGCGCACAAACCTCTACAAATCGTATTTTGGACGAATTTTTTCTACTGTTTCGTCCTGCCAGTCCAAGCGACTAAGAAAAAATGTATTCAAATAATTTTATATCTTTCCTAAAATAAATTCAAGAACTCAAATTCTAATTCGTGTATTCATGTCAATAAACACAATTATGTTTACAAGGGTCATGTGGTAGATGGTAACAATTGAACGAGGGTCATAAAAATATCTTATGCTGTCAAAATAACAGGAAACAGTTAGGTAGTTTTTGCAAAGCAATAAACAGGTAGGCTTTACCTGGATTAAGTACATGTCTACTGTAATAGGTAGATGGAGGTGATGCTGGCAGAAATGCTATCCGAATTGTTAGTTATGTTTATATCAACTTTTTTTGGTCTGAGTTTCTTTCCAAGATTCTTGCGTTTGAGTCTTTGTTCCATCTTAGTGATAAGCGAGCTTGGACTAAGCTTAGAACGCAAATGTATTTGGACCACATAGACAGGCCGCTCGGTATTGTGGCTCACTTCAGCTGCAGCACATCTTCCATGGTATGACCTCTTCTTGCAATAATTTATTCGCTTACCCCAATGTATTTTGCGATTATAGAGTTGAACTGCTCCACACTATTGTTGTCCTCATCATGAATTAAACTCACTGAATTCGTAATTAAAACTGTCGCATATGACCTTTTATTGTCCATTATCAACCTTGATAAAAAATTGACTCAAGAACAATCACACCAACAAGAGTACAACACAACAATTCAACACAATATCGACGAACAGTAACAAAATAGGAAACGATTTACATGGTAGTTCGCTAATCGAAATCCGACTCTGTTATTATAAAAATTTACCTCGGTAGACACCCGCAGTAATCCTTTCCTGTTTTAAAGTAGCGCCGACCACCGTCTAAGACCAGCCCACAATCGTTTCCTTTTCACCCCTCCGTTACCTCAGCAGATGGTGCTCGTGATTATAGGAGCCCCGTTAACATGCTAACTCCGGTGCTCGCCTACAAGCCCATGATAGGTGCAGCTTTCGCAAAGTTTCTATTCACTGGCAGTTTACATCGGCTTCTCAACAGTTTGAAGTACCCCGCATTTCAATATCTGCCCTATGGATTAGTATCGGTAGACGGCATGAGAGACATGTGGATCTGATAAGGGTGCGCTAGGGTCAACAGAAGTTAGATTGAAAAACTTGACACGATTATAACTAATGTTACTGAGAAATTTGGTTCATACTGTGTCTGCAACTCTCGTATCAATTCCACAGGTCCGCAAAATAAAACAGTGGTGCTTGCTGATTGTCCCTCTATATTTTTACCATATACTGTTTCTAGCTGAGCACGAATCTAAATGCAGAATTAGGGGTGGAAGGACACATTTCATTAACAAAATGCATAAATACAACAAAACTCATATCACAGGTCCACAAAAAATAAAAAGTGGGGATCAAATATCTTTACTCTATATGTTCCCCTCTGAACACGAATCTTATGTCAAAAGCTTTGTAAATTTTCAAAATCGATCCAATGGCGGCAGATCTAGGGGTAGAAGACGAAAAAATAATAGAAATCGCCCAAACTTTGATTTTTTACATCTCAGAGGCTCCTCATCATTTTCAGAAACACTTTTGTAGGGGTTAAACTTTTAGGGTTGGGGTGTTATGGGATGAGGGAGGGTATATCGCATTTTTTGCCGTTAGTATATCTAGTATATTCAGAGTGTCTGCGAAAGGTTGGGAAATCTCGAAACTGGAGATACTACAGACCAAAATATGTGAATTGACCTTAACATATCTTATTCCAAAAGTTGATAGTTTGCGAGATACAGGGGATACAGAAGTGTCTAATACTAATAGTTTTCGAGATATTTGTTTTTAAAAGTTCCAATGCATTATTTGTATTATTTATTAGCGTTGCTATGGTTTCTAATGTTTGTCATAATATTGCTTTAAGCTTCATGGATAATTTCAAGTTATTTTAGGTTTAATGTACAGATTGGCAAGATGTAATGCTTTAAACGCACGAAGAT